ATATTTATTCATATATTATATTTTAAAATCAAAGAACTATTAATTAGGATATAATCAAAGAAATAAGAGTTGATGTTGCTTTTGGAATAATCCACCAATTTCTCTAAATGAAACACAATCTACAGATTTGCATAGAAGCGTTTCTTATGAATGTGATTTTAATCACTGTCAAATATCATCTGTACTTGTCCTATCTATTTTTTTAAGATATATGGTTTGTTATTACAAATAATAAAATGTACTAATTAAAGCCAGTCATTAAAATATATATTAACTCGAATTCTTTAATTTTAATTTTTATAATTTTATACGATTATTCCCTTCTTACTAGATAGATTTTGAATGAATCCTGTTGAAATTATTAGTGTCATAATTTTGAATATCTATCTTCAATTAAGCTTAAAAAATCATATTAAAATTTTTATATTTTATGATTCAAAAAATTATAGTTAAAACAGATTACTAATATATTAAAAAGAATTAATTTTGTTGAGTTAATGACAACTTACATAGAAAAGTATACAATTTCAGAACAAATGACAAAATTATTTCATTAAATTTTGTATAGTAAAGAAACAAGTAATTATTATCATTTATTTTGGATAACATAAGATCACTAGATAGGTTTATGAGGAGGCTTTCTAGTATATGTTTAGTCTTGATAATGGTAACATTTAGTATCCGTGTTTTTTTGGCAATTGTTTCTTTGACTCAGTGGCCAGTTCTCCCCTAGCATTAATATTAGATTACTGAATATTTGTACATTTGGTACATTTATTTTTACAATATTAGCTTTATAAGTTGAAGAATAATTCAAAAGATCACACCAATTTTTTTTTTAAATTATTCTCTATAAGTCAATATGAATTTCAAAATAAGATAGACAATTATTAAACTGGATCCTTTAAATTTAAAAATCACATTCATACATAAGATGTATACTTTTATTATAATAATTTATTGGTAAAAGAAATTATTTTTTAAAGTAATTTTATAATCTTTGGAAAAGATCTGTAACTAGAAAAGTAAGAAATTAATTACTCAGGTTGCTTTCTAAATCTACGAATTTTGTAACAATAAAAAGATAAATTAGAAATAATACTGTTAGTTTTGAAAAAAATCTTGTGATCATCATGTGTCACCAGCGTTAGAAAGGATGACTTTTCAACAATTTTCATTGAGCTGGACGCTGACAGTAGAAAAATAGCACTCCATTTCTAGGGTTTACTAACCCAGGATCTAGCGCTTTTTGTCTTATCAAATGCTGGAAACTTATTGTGCGTCAACTATCGTAGAGTACTTAAGCTAGTGATAATACTACTTATTTTTACGTATTTCACAGAAGTTTCATAGTGTAGTTTAACATTACCAATATGTGAACAGTACCCTAAAAATGAACATATCTAAAATTCTGTCTGAAATTTCGATGTATCATAATTATAAGTGTATATTTCATTGTAAGGAAAACAAAAAAAAAATCATACAGGTTAAATATCAGAAAAAATTACATAACTGGTTACTGGTTATTAGCTAGAAAATAATTTTTTATTTAAATGTTGAAGAGAATTTTTTTTGTTTACACCTCTATTAAAATGACAAGTATTTAACAAATGTTTAAAGATTATGAAGTAAATAAATTGCTAAATATGAACAATTTAAATAATAATACAAATATTATTTAAACATTCAAAAAAAAAAACTTCGTTAAACCTGACAAAACGGTTAATTTAATTTTTATGAACAGAGAATTAATATACAAAGTCATAAAATTATAGTTGAGTTACAAAAAAAAAATACATTGATGAATGAAGTATTAATGTTATCAACTATCATATTTTTTTCCCTTGTACAGGTTTTTAAAAGATAATATAAATAATTTTTTTTATAACTCAATAAGTTTTTAGTTAATTCAAAATTATATTTAATAACTGTATTCATAATTTTCAATTTTATATTATTTTGTTAATAAATTATTTCTATTTCAAAAATTACAATTACACAATTTTTTTAATTTATACTATAAATGCATTATACAGAATGATCCACTAATTATGACTCATGTATTATTTTGAAAAATACTAGTGTTTTAAAAAAGTTTTTGTTTAATCATTATAGTTTTTGATGAGCTATCCTGCAAGAAAAAACTTTTATTATTAAAATACTATTGTCGTACAAAAAAAATTACTAAAAATTCTTCTCTATTGATTCTGCTGAAATCTGAAAAATGTATATTTTACAAATATTGAAAGACACATGTTTATCTAACGCATCTAAATTATTTCTAATGCTTTGTGGTTCACTAAACTAAAATTTTATCACTTATTAATTGTCTTGTTTTCTTCATAGCTATTATGTGTTCATAGTAAATTCTCATTAAGATACACGATAATAAATATTTGTTAATTTTATTCCTTACAAATAGTTAAATTAAAAAATTAAGCTATTTGAGTTCGTTCTGGAGACCAGATACAGCTAATATGGACCATTACGAATAATATTGCGATTTTATTGTAAGAAAATCATTTTTTAATAGAAGTAGAAATCGCGTGGCATCATTATGCCGATTATAGTTATGTCATTTAATACCATTCTTAGGATTTTGTAACAGAAATGAAAATTGATTCAGGTCTTTGCTTATATCAATGATAATATGCGTTCTCATACAGCGGCTTGTGAGCTCGAATTTCTCACGAAAAATATGGTAGAAGAACAGATAAGACAAACCCAGATGGTGCAATTTTTGATTTACTGTCAACTCGAACCTACCACAATGCAGTGATGTAACATATAAGAAATTAATTTATTGTACAGTAATTTTTACTATAATAATTATATCAAATAATTAGTTATGCGTGTATAAATAAGAATCAATTAATGGAATTTCAAAAAATAGCTTAAATTTGAGAATTTTTAATGTACCATTTATTGTAAAACTTTTTGAAATATTTTTAATCTACCTACATCAGTCTTTTTAATTATATTACAGTTTAAATAATTCGATTTTTTATAAATGCTATTGAATGCTAATTATATTTATAATATTCACACTTCAATAAAAAGTATCTCCTAGACAAATTTTTTTTTAATATTTTCCTATGCTTTTTCATAACTGCAATTTTTAATTATTTTTAGTAAAAAAATTAAATATTGAATTAAACATGAATAGCCGTTCAAGTATATTACATATTTAGCAGTAAATAATTTAAATAAAACTCAATAGAGCTTAATGATGCGACATAGATTAAGTGCTACCCATGTAAATTAAAAAAAAAAGAAGAAAAAAAACATCTTTTGTTCAAACTAGTACATGAATTAAACACTAAAAAATATGCTATTGGTTGCTTTTAATTTAAATTTTTAAGCATTAAAATTAATGCATACTTTGCAGTCTCATAAGTTTTACGGAAATTGTGGTATTGAATTCCATTATTTCATCTCTTTTAATTAAGCAATATAAGTTAGTTTTTAAAGGCATTTCATCTGCACAATGTATACATTGTAATATTTCAGTGATAGAATTTTTAGTTTAAAAATTAGGAAATTAAATTAAAAATTATCTAGTCTTTGACTAGATTCAATTTGTGACCTTTTGACACCTCGTTGAAAGAAATCGGTTCGGTAAGAGCTAAGAAAAAACGTGGTAACAGACACAAAAAAAAATACATCACAATAAATTAATACCTTCTTAGCTTCACATCGCATCTAAAAAACATAGTAAAATTAATACATTCTCAGCTTAGCATTAAAAGATAAAATATAGTTGATATCCTTTAGATATAAGGGATGAACCAAAAACCATTTAAAATTAAAAATCTGAAACAAATTTCCAATATGACTATTTTGTTTGTATAAATGTGTATTGGGATAGACGAATTATCTGTAATATAAAAACTATATAATAATATTATTTAGTTATATTGAGGCCATATAAAATATTATCATGATTTATAACGTTGCTGATCATACTAAACATAATAAAATGAATAAAAAGTATGTTCCACTATAAGTAAACAGAAAACAGATAAAAGATACAAAACACTAAACCCTTTTAATATATGATATAGTTTATTAATTAATGATATAATTAAAACACGTTAACAAAATTACTAAAGATTATATTGCTTAATAAAATAACACAGTATCAATTGTATATTAATAAAATATTCTGGAAACAATATATGTATATATATATATATATACAAATTTTTATTGTTTATTATTAGATATAAACATTTAAGGATTCAAATTTTTTTGAGTTAATATACATGTATAATACATAAGGGATTACAAATACAGGTAGCTAATTGGTTTTTTATGACGATATTAGCAAGAATATAGCTTTTAATATCAATGATAATAAGACATATTATTGTAAGTTTTTAAACACACTAACTGGCAATACAGAAATTATATCCATTGCTAGTGATAATTTACAATAAACACCCCGTGACTACGACAGCGATGTCATAAAAAACTAATAAGTAAAAAATAAATATAGTTAAAAAAAAACTGAAAAACACGCTTTTAAAGCATATCAAACTAAAAAGTTAAAAATAATTTTAAAAATAAGCTTAAAACAATAATGAACGAAAAATACTAGTATTATTGTTTTAAGCTTATTTTTAAAACTATTATTAGCTTTTTAGTTCAATATGCTTTAAAAGCGTGTTTTTCAGTTTTTTTTAACTATATTTATTATACAGGGTGTTCAGTTAGTGTATTTATGAACTCACAACAATGTGCCTTACTACTATTGATAATAACAATGCTGTGTACCTGTGAATATTGATGTCATAAAAAACCAATTAGCTACCTGTATTTGTATTACCTTGTGTATTATATAATCTATTATATAATACACATGTCATGTATATTAACTCAAAAATTTGAAATTTTAAATGTTTATATCTAATAAACGAATAAAGTTATATTAAAAATTCAAATGCCATTTACTATTAAATTAAAAACTCAAACATTTTATTAAATTAAAAATATGTGTTTCCATTTAAAAAAACAAAGTTGACCCCCTTACAAGGCATAAGGGATGAACTTAAAAAGTATTACATAGCTAATAATTCAAGAATAATGTGTAACTAAAGATAACTAAAAAAAAAAAATGTTCAAATATTCTGTTAGTAATTGAGTGGGTTATGATAAAAAAAAAATCACTCTGTATATGTCCGGAAAAAAATCGTTAATTCAAAGATCAATATGCAATTTAAGATCTTAGTAAATTAGACATAAGTTAAAGAAGTTTGTAGTCTAATTCTTTGTTTTTACAGTGAGAAAGTTTTTCAAAACCCAAATCTTGATAACATGATTTACTAACATTTTCACAAAAACTTTCAAAAAAATTACATGCATTAAACATAATTGGGATTGAAAATGCAGGATTTAAATGAATTGATATATTTCCTGGATTTCTAAAATAGTTTACATAATACTTAACATTTTTAAATTTATCTTCTATTTGACACCGGAAATTATATTGACTCAAATCGTTCGATAACTGAGAGCTAAAAGTTATTAATTTGTTTTCAAAAATTACTAGAAGTTGTTCAACTATTTCGATTTCATTATTATCAATATTTTTTAGAGAAAAATCATTGTTCTCCAATAAGCTGAGAAAATCTGCAACCCATTCAAAAACTACACGTAAACATGATTCAGAAGTATAATTAACACTCCATATTGATGATTTATTTAAAGTAACAAAAGCTTCATACAAATCTTCAAGCATTTTTTTTGATTTAACGAATGAGCTAAATAATTCAGTCAAACAATTATGGTAATAGTTGAATGCATCTTTATTGCATACATGTAACATAGCATATAATAATGTATGATAGTTTATCATTATTTCTGTAAATCTACATCTTAATAATTGTGATACATGTTCTTTTTTTATTCGAAAATTTATGTTACTAACTTCATCATATATTATACGATCAACACTGAATTGTTTACCAAAATAAACTATACTTATGTGGTTCATTTTTTTCCAACCAGATTCCTTACGAAGAATATTGAGAGCTTTAACTCCATCATTTTGATTTGTATCTGGATCTATTGGAGGTATGAATCTAAATTAAAAAATATATTTGATTATTAATAAATACATAAAAAATAAATATATTTAAATATTGATGATGAAACATTATTTTACTTCAAGTTAATTAGTTAAATATGATTAAAATATAGAATTTGTATTCTAAATTATTACATATTTATTAAGTTGTAACGTCACAAATTCGAAGGGACCGTTTATAATTTTTGGTTATGTCTATATATTTATTTTATCACGCAAAAGAACCTTCTCCTGACACAGCGTTGTCAACCACTCAAACGGGTGTACAAGGAATTTTCATCAGAATCAAGGATATAATTTTCTGTATCAAATTTTCGCCTTGTTTTCAAATCAACACTTTTTCTATAACTTCTAACTTTTGATATTATTACTAATTATTAATTACATAAAAATAATATATTTAAAACAAAAATACAAATAAAATATTATAATTAATATATTAAAAAAGACTTAACAGTTATTATTATTGTTTTAAGATTATTTGTTGTGTTTAATCATTTTTTAAAATTGTTTATAAAGTATATGTTTAGCGTTTTTAATTTTTTTGAGGCTTTTTGACTTAAATATTTTTGATATATTTTAGTTTCTAATTAATATTTTTTATATAGTTTTAATTTTAAATAATATTAGCTACATGTGATCAATTTTCATTACACAGTTTTAAAGGTACAATATAAAATAATTATATATTATAGGTATTATTAAAATATTGAGTTTAAAGTTCTAGAATATTATAAGGTAAAATTTTTAATTTGTTTTATATATACAGGGCTATGAATTACGTTTATGATTCTGATATTAAAATTCCTCTCCACTCCAAAAAAAATTGATAAAAACTCCAAATTCAAAATACTATCTACATCGTTTGATATTAACATTTTTTAATTTTTATAAATATAATTTGAAGACTTCATTTTCTCTAAACGTCACTTTTTTCTATTTCACTTGTATTTTTATACATGTTTCATCCCAATATTGTTATTTGCTATACTTGGCGAGCTCATTTGTGATTGTCAATTCAACTGTAACTGTGATGCAGATCCCTAATTTATATGAGGGTAATCGCATGAGCTCGAAAAAAGGTAGATGTTAGCCATGTAAAAAAACCATTATAATCAATTAAAATATTAATGATTATGTACTGATGTCTATATAAAATTGAAAAATGTATAATCTGTTGAAAATGCAAGTTATTTCTAAGTACTGTATAAAATTATGGTAAACTAAACTTCTATTAAACTTAATTCAAATATTACATTTTTATACGCATTTTTCTATTAGGAAGCTAAACACTTTTTAGATACTTTCAGAATTTTTTCTTTAAATTACCAAAAAAGCTATCTAACAGTAAAAAACCCAGTTTTGTAAGGAATTTCAGCCCCTTTCATATTTTTCCAATTATTGAAAAATAATTATTATAAGCGTAGAGTAAAATCCCAGCACAGTGGTGACGTGCCATAGTTGGGTCAAGTATAGATGATATCTGACGGTGATTAAAATCACTATCATAAAAAATGCAAATCTTTAGATAGTGTTTAATTTTAAAAAATTGGAGGATTATTTCTAAAGTTACATGATTTGCTATTTCCTTATTAATATCCTGATTAAGATAATGTATGTCAAATGAAAAAGGGATATAAATATTATTTTTCATAAAAAAATTGTGTTGATCCATACACTTTTCAATAAGTTATAACATTATAAAGTTAAAAATGTAAAAAATAAAATCGAGAATTTTCACACAAAAATAGCATTCTGTAGCTATTTTTACCGTGAAGACAAAATAAAGTCCGAATTTTTTTTTTCCATGATAAAGTATATTACATAATCTTTAATTTAACCCATTCATGCCCGAGGTTAAAATTTTTTTTAAATTTNAATTACATTAGCTTTAATTTAAGATATATATAAAAGTGTCAGACTTTCCGGAACACTTTCAAAATTTAAGTTGAAAAAGTAAATTTTTTGTGAAAAAGTTGTAGTTTTAAATCCCCCCCTGTGGGCAGGTAAAGGGTCAGATATGAAAAAAAAATATACCAAATGATAGGTAAAGACATCATGCATCTATAAAAAAAAAATTATATTGATCCATACATCTTTCAAAAAGTTATAGCATTATAAAGTCAAAAATATAAAAAAGAATTTTTTTACAAAAATCGTATTTTTTTTATTAAGTTTGGTGTCTGTTTTCACCATGAAGATAAAAAAAAGTCCGAATTTTTTTTTTTCATAATGAAGTACATTACATTAGATTTAATTTAAGATATATATAAAAGTGTCAGACTTTCCGGAACACTTTCAAAAGTTAATGTTTTGTGAAAAACTTGTCATTTTAAGTCCTCCCCTAGTGGGCAGGTAAAAGGTCAGATTTATAAAAAAAATATACCAAATGATAGGTAAGGACATCAAGCATTTATAAAAAAAAATTATATTGATTTGTTCCTTTTTGAAAAAATTATGGCAGTTTTAAGTAAAAAAAATTGAAAAAATTTCGAAAATGAGCGATTTTTAAATTTGTAATTTTTTTGAAGGTTTCCCCCATTTACGAGGAACGAGGGAAATTTGTTCCACTTTTGAGGTTAATGTCTTCAACTAGATACGATTTATGATCTTTTGACGTATCTTTGAAAGAAATCGGTTCGATGAGAGCTGAGAAAAAGTGGTAACAGACACAAAATAATAATAAATAAATAAAAAAAAAAACAAATCATAGTAAAACCAATAACTTCTCAGCTTCGCATCGAAGCTAAAAATAGTTTATTTACAAATTGATACTAGTTTTTATTTTAATATGTTAAAAATAATCAGTGCAAAATATAATTTTCAACTTATTTTTTTGGTTCACAGAGTTGATTTTTGTAAAAGTTGACAATAACATTTAGCTCAAAATGGAAGTTTAAATTTGATTTAATTAAATAGAAAAATTTATGATAAATAAAAAAGTATACAGTTATTAAATTTTATAATTACTATTTATAACAAATTTATTAGAGAAGCTCAATATTTTTTTGTAAAACTAAACATAAAAAAAAAAAAAGAATTGTTTAAATAAATTAAATTATATATATTCTGTAAGTAATTGAGTGGATTATGATAAAAAAATCACTCTGTGCACATTTATGAAGGAAAAAATTATGTACCAATCTATTATTCATATTATAATTTGACTAATGTAAAAAAAAAATATTATATACATATCTAAGTTCAACTAATTTAATTTTAGACAATTAAAACAAATAAACTATCCAAACCGTAAAATATTATTGAATATATTCTATCGAAAAAATTTAATATTTTAACGTTATTAAGTTATTTGTTTGTTCGGTTTTGGCATTTGGCGGCTATACCATATAATGGTACGGGGATTTATTAGTAATCACTGCTTTATTTTATTTTTTAAGACCTTGAATACAGCATTGTACCTCTTATAGTGAGAAGGGGAACGGTGATGTTTTCAAAAGGGATACAGAATGTCTTACGATGTGTACGAGGAGCTGTAGTCGAAATTGTAGGTTTACAATTTATAAAATAAAATTTTAATTTTATGCTAGTTCAAATTTCAAATGTATATTTCTTTAATTAAAAGAAGCGGCAAATTAAGCTAAAAATAATTAGTTACAGATGAAAAAAATACACATCACAGTAAATTTAATATCTTCTAATACTATACCTCTAATATTGATTCAATACAAAACATTTAAATAAGAACGTTGCACAGTCTAGTTAAAATGTACTTATTTATTTTCGATAAACCAACTATAAAAAAACCCAGCACAGGGGGGTCGCGGCACAGTGGTGACGTGGCATAGATGGATCAAGTATAATGATATCTGACAGTGATTAAAATCACTATCATAAAAAACGCTTCGATGTAAATCTTTAGATAGTGTTTAATTTTGAAAAATTGGTGGACTATTCCAAAAGCAACATGATCTGCTTGTTCGTTATTAATATCCTGATTCAGATAAAGTATGTCGAATGAAAAAAGGATTATTAAAAAATAGTATTTCCCATAAAAAAATTATATTGATCAATACACTTTTCAATAAGTTATAGCATTATAAAGTTAAAAATGTAAAAAATAAAATTGAGATTTTTCACACAATAATAACATTTGGTAGCCATTTTCACCGTGAAGACAAAATAAAATCCGAAATTTTTTTTTTTCATAATAAAGTATATTACATTAGCTTTAATTTAATATATATAGAAAAGTGTCAGACTTTCCGGAACACTTTCAAAATTTAAGTTGAAAAAGTCAATTTTTTGTGAAAAAGTTGTCATTTTAAATCTCCCCTTGTAGGCAGGTTAAGGGTTAAATTTATGAAAAAAATATACCAAATGAGAGGTAATAATATTATACATCTATATAAAAAATAATTATATTGATATGTTTATTTTTGAAAAAGTTATGGCACTTTTAAGTAAAAAAAATTTCGAAAATTTCGAAAATTAGCGATTTTTAAATTTGTAATTTTTTTGGAGGTTTCCCCCATTTACGGGGAACGAGGGAATTTTTTTCAATTTTTAAGGGTAATGTCTTCGACTAGATACGATTTGTGATCTTTTGACGTATCATTGAAAGAAATCGGTTCGGTGAGAGCTGAGAAAAAGTGGTAACAGACACAAAAAAAAAAAAAAACACATCTTAGTAAAACCAATACCTTCTCAGCTTCGCATCGAAGCTAAAAACCATAATACTTTATTAGTGTGATATATTCGTATAACAATTAGTACATATTCTTCATAAGGAAATAATTTTCTTTTTCAAATATTTATTTATTAAAAAATCTTTGAAATATTACCTATAATATATTTAAAAAAGTAATATTAAATGTAAAAATTCTTACTCTGTTGTTTTAGGGTTGAGAAATTCTTCAAATCCTAGGTTTTTGTACCAAACTTCAACAATTTCGTTGAAAAACTTATTAAGTCGTTTACTTTTTGCAGACTTTAAGTCATTAGGTAATTTCGCAATTTTAATATTTTTAAAATCATTTGTTAGCAAAATGTCCATTAAATAACAATTTTGAAAAAAAATGTTTACTTTTTTTGATGCGTCTGTTTGAAATATTGTCAAATTCTCAAGTTTCATTTCAAAAATTTCATAAGGTGATTTGTTGAGATCAATAGTGCTGGACTCCAAACTTTTTTTTAAAACGTACTGATATATAAAGTCGATTACATCAAATATAGGATGTGGCACGAAGCCTTCAGAAAACAAAAATCTTATATCTATGTAGCTTAAAAACTTCATAGCATTGTGTAGATTTTCAATCATAGTCTTGGAATTTTTTACAATTATTTCAAGCATTTGCACACAAGCAATAAAATTATTCACTAAATTTTTTTGATAATATTGCTGGCATTTACTGATGATATGTTTTATTAAATCAAGAATTTTTTTCAGTATTTCAATGTACTTAAAATTGAGTATACTTATGATATAACAATATCTTAATCTAAATTTTAACATGTTCGTGTTTGGTTGAAGAGCTTCCTCTATATCAATAGTATTATTTGAATCTCGTTTTCGATACGATATAATTTGTGAATAAATGTGACTCACCACCCTTTCGATATAATTTCCATACATAGCATGATAAATTTTGCAATGAAGTCCTTTGTCTGATGGCAAGACGAAAACGACAATAAATATTAAAATAAATGAATAAAATTTCATTGTGCAAAAATTCTTAAATGATAATGTTGTTTTCTTATTTAAAAATGAGGTAGATTTATAATGAACATGTGCAAATGTTTTCTTTGTTATTAATTATCACTTATTTGTTAATAAAAAATATGTATAAAGAATATACATTTTTTTTCTACGCCAGTAAAAATATATTAAAATATAGTGCTTTATTTTATTAAATTTTCAAATAATTTTTTATAGGATGTATAGGTTATATTATCACCTATATCGATACATTTTCTCTTTGAATTCCTCTGTTTATAACATTAGTTACTTACAAAAATATTTTATAATATATTATACTATTTAATATAATGAGACCTAATAATTACTATTACAAATAATTTATTTTAAAATATATAAAAGTTTTATATATGTAATTTCAATAAAATTCAATTGTCCCATGAATAGTTCACAATAAAAAAGTTAAATGAATAATGCTTTCATCAATATAAATTAACGCTACTAAGGTTTTTTATTTGTTGAGTTTGTCTGAAAATCTTTTGTCGGCTATTTTTATTTAAACATGTTTTTACTGCAAAAGTTAAAAAATTAATGAATTACTTAAATACTTATCATTATTTTTCTTAAAAAATTGTCCAAAGACTAGGTTTTTGTACCAGAATTATATAATTTCCTTGACTTATAAATTAAATTTTTTATTGGATGATTTACATTATTGGAGAATTACGCAATTTGAAGTTTTTTTAAATAATTTATTATAGAAGTACTATAATAAATAGTAACTATTTCGAGTTATCGTACACAAGGAATAAAATGTATTGATAAATTATAATTGATCATCGTTATGAAATCGCTGACAGTGTCTAAGTAAAAGATTTATTAAATCAAGTTATTTTCTTAAAATTTCAAGATACTTGTAATTGATTATACTTATTGTATAAATAATAAAATTGTATAATTGATTACATCAATTATAGTATGCGGTACGAAGCCATTAGAAAACAAAAATCTTATATCAATATAGATTATATACTTCATTACCTTGTGTAGATTTTTTTTTTTAATTTAAGATTTATAAAAGTGTAAGTATTTTCGGAATACTTTCAAAATTAAGTTGAAAAAGTTCTTTTTTCAATATGCATTTTTAAGTTTTGACCCCTCTGTATTAAGGGAAATAGTCCGGTTTAAAAAGAATGTATATAGCATAAAAGAAGAATATTAATAGTATTTATCTTAAAAAAATTATAATGATCCATACATTTTTCAAAAAGTTATAGCGTTATAAAAATAAAAATATAAAAAAATTTTTTTTTACAAAAATCGTATTTTTAATTATCAATTTTTCATATCAATTTATATTACATAAGTTTTTATTTAAGACATATATAAAAGTGTCAGTATTTTCGGAACACTTTAAAAAATTTAGTTAAAAAAGTTCTACTTTCTGTATGTATATTTTAGTTTTGAATCTCTCCTATATTAAGAGAAATGATCTGATTTAAAATAAATGTATGCCGAATATAAGAGGTATATAAATATTATTTCTCATAAAAAAATTTTAATGATCCATACATTTTTCAAAGAGTTATAGCATTTTAAAGTTAAAAATGTAAAATAAAAAACCGAGAATTTTAATACAAAAATAGCATACGATAGCCATTTTCATCATGAAGACAAAATTAAGTCCGAAATTTGTTTGAATAAAACACCTAAAAAACATATATGTTTTTAAATATAAAAACACTAATTGAGATTAAAGTTCTGATTGTTTTGCATTTTTGAAAATTTAACATTTTTGCAAATCAAATAAGATTTTTGTTTTTTGAAATAAATGATGACTTAAATAAAATGTACAATTTATATAATAATATATTAGTTGTTTAATTTTTATATGATGTAAATGTATGGAAAATTGTTTTTAGCTTCGATGCGAAGCTGAGAAGGTATTAAGTTTACTATAATGAGTTTTTTTTTGTGTCTGTAACCACTTTTTTCAAATAATGCTAAATATAACATTTTTTAAACTACGGCAGCCGTTTGCACGTAGAAGATAAGTCGCCAGGACAAATTTTTTTTTAAATTGATAGTACGTAACATAAGTATCAATTTGACATATGTTTAAAGGACGCAGTATTTTCAAAACATTTTTAAAAGTTAAGTTGAAAATGTTGAATATTGTAAAAAAGTTTTTATTTTGAATACCCACCTGTGAGCAGGTTAAGTATTAGATTTTCAAAAAAATGAAATCAAATGAAAGGGAAATATCTAAGGTTTTAATATGAAAAAATTATTTTGATTCTTTCATTTTTCATGAAGTTATGGCAATTAAAAAAAAAAAAAAAAGTGAATTACTTGTCAAAATTTTCTAATATATAAGATAGTAAACTATTTACGGGGAACGAGGAAAAAAATTTTCAATTTTTAAGAGTAATTTCTTTGACTAGATACGATATTTTTACGTATCGTTGAAAGAAATGGTTCCAGTGAGATCAGAGAAAAAGAGTAACAGACACAAAAAAAAAAAAATTAAACGCATCATGGTAAAATTAATACCTTCTCAGTTTCGCATCGAAGCTTAAAGAATCAAAATATCTTTAGTTGTTCAAATGTAATAAAACTTGTGACGTTCGTCGGATTTTGACCGTAAGGCTTTCACCAATGAAACCACATAAATCCAACAATGTTGGATCCACCACTAGCCGAGGTTCTACCAGATCAAAGCATAGTGGAATTTCAAATGTAAATGACATAACATGTTTGAAGATTTTACTATTGTTCAAATTACTAAGTTTTTTTCTTTAACTCTAGGGGAAAAGGAATTAAAAGACTAGTAGACTAGTAATATGGGCGATGATATTCTATTTTATGCAATTTCAAAAAAACCTCGTCGTAATACTCGTGTATTGGAAAAAAATGGACGAAATAAAGAAAGAAGGGAATTTTGTACAAAGTTACCACAATTATAATAAAATGATGTCCAAGACGTAGCCAAACAAGTCTTCAACCATGGCTAGATTGCCAGGGCCAAAAGCAGAAGTTAAGCAGCCATTAAAATGTAAGTGTACTAAGTGATAAAAGAGAATGATAGCTGGAGAAAAATAATTTCACGAACAGGCCAAAAACATTTTTTAAACAAAACGGGCAGATCACTTGACGGCGACAACACACATGAACCGGAAGGGGAAACAACGCCGACATTAGGGCATGCGTAGTTGACAGACACCTGGGACCAGTTGAACTGTTGACAGTATTGTAGTGGACATCTGAGCGTTTTCTTATCACATTTACAATTTATAATGAACGATTGATAGCGATTGTACAACAAGAAAAATATAAAAGAGAATGTGCGACTCAATTATAAAAACTATTTAATTTAGTTATTATTGAATTTTGATGTTCTAAATGATTTTGATTCACCACGAAATTATCACTACTTAGACAATAATACCGCATTACCAATTGCTGAGCAGTTACACTTCATTATGTGATGTTCACTAATAACTAATTTAATTAACTTAGCGTCTGTTTAATAATACTAATAGTGATAGGTCAATTTTTTACGTCACAAACTTTTCAGAACAGGCTGATATACTATGTACATACTGAATGTTTGATTTATCGTTGATCACTAAATTTCTCTTAAAATAATAATTATGAAAACATTTTTCTTAGTCTTGCTAAACAATATTTATTTTTTTGGTTTTTAAGTACTTAAATATTTTTTAGTCTACCCCTTATCTCTTATATAGTTACTAACTTAAATTTGTTTAATGAAAACATGCATGTTTGACTAGCTATATAATAGAAAATGACAATAACAATTTTGAGGACTAATACGTATAAAAATACTGAAAAATTTTATATATTAGAACTTCTTTATTTTACATTTCAGTAAATTGATTAATGATTTAAACATTTTTTTATTTTAAACGATATTGGAAACAAATGAAAAGTTTTTATTGTATAAACTGTTTAATATTTATACAAATTATCATGTTATACCTCTCAGATGATTCCGTAGGAGTATGAATTCTTGGGTAGTCTTTCCTGTGGTTGAGTTAGTTGAGGAAGTCTAAAGAAGGAAAATAGGGTTTAATTTACTAAGTATAATTCGACACTCGTGTATAATCTTAATTGGTTGATTTATTATTGTTACACAGTAACTTTTAAATTTAATATTTTAATAAGAATTATAATTTAGTTATTAGCATAAAACTTAATTTTTTAATGTCAAAATATGACTCAACTAAATTTGTATATTTTGTATAGTCTATTAACCCAACCAATTCAACTATTATGGTTATTACATAACATTCATTCCAGGAACTTTTTATAGATAAAATAACCATATACATTTTAAGCTCACTTCAACAATATATTAGGCTAAATTTTTAATTATATTGTTAAATTATCAATTACTTAGAAGGATCTAAATATAATAATATTAGAAGTCAAATATTTGATTATTCTTTAATTCCTCTAAATAATTTTATACTGAAATATAAGAAACGATGAAAACCTAAGAGAAATGTCATCATTAACAGATCACCATGTGTAAATGATCGATGGTAACCTACCTTACATAGCCTGTTGTACAATCTGTCTTAATGATCGACTGCAATTATTACTTAGCCATAGGGACTGACATTTAGAGTAAAATTTCGCACTTATAAACAAACAAAAAAAAAAAAATACTCCGTAACTGCCAATTAATTATTAAAAATATCTGCACAAAACAATAACACAATCAAAATTGAAACAAGTTTTCAAAAGATAATTTTATTTAAATACATTAAACTTTTGTTTTTGTTTGTTAATTTAAATTTAATGTTATAATATTACATTATTATATTATAATGTTAGGTTAAATAAAGTTTCTGATAGATAATAAAGTATACTGTAGTAAATTAAATCATAACTTTGTTTTTTTTTTTGTACCAATACACATAAAATTTCAACTACTACTTAATTAATATTACTCAATGTAAAATTAAAAAGAACCCAAATTGCATTTTATTATTAAGTATCACAATTGTATTCAAACTTTTAATGAATAAATAAAAATCTAGTAAATAAATTTACCGTTTTTGAGTAAAAATTATATTGATCAAAAATCAAATTTCAAAATAAAAAAATATAATATTTTTTCTTATTTTCCTTTTTGATTGCGGCCTTTAAGACCATGCTGCTAAATACAAATCTTGCCATCTGTCCAAATGTTCCAAATGTGTGCAAATGTTTCATGTTCCAAAATAATCCATTTTTCCATTTTCTAGTCTTGTTTTCCGAAGCTCCATTGTTCCGAGGCAAGTCTGTTATTAGGTCTTAAACAATATTGTTTTCTAAGATAGGGTTGTTAGTCCTGCAATAACCCCCCAAATATGATGATTAGACTACTCGAACCAATCAAAGTCAGAGTAGGAAAAAACTGCACCAATAAATTAAAGTCAGTACAGTTCACAGCTTAGGACCCTGGGTTCGCAAAACCCGTCGCACTAGATAGTGCTCACCTGGGAAAACAAAAATAGAATCATAAAATACAATTTTATTAATTATATTATCAATATAGTATTTATTATTGACAGTTTAAATTTTTGAAGGAAGAAGAGGTAGAAGAAGACCACAAAAGAGATGGAGGGATGCTATTGATTGCGATATGAGGACAGCTGATGTGAGCGTAGATGATGTGGGAGATTGTGTCAAGTGGAAATTTAGGATAAGGGTGGCCGACCCCAAGTAGTTGGAATTAAGGCGAGGAAGAAGAAGAAGATGATTGACAGTTTAAATTTTTTAATTTTTACTCTTCTTCTTTTTCCTCGATTTAACTATGGGAAAATTTAGTGATTTACACCTGATTAATCCTGTATATAAGATGGAAAGAATCTAACTGATAATAACTAATAACTTTTGATTTACTTAATATTTAACCAATTTTTTCTATTTTAAATACTTTACTATGTTACGAACTGGAATGGAATTTTTGGGTTTCTAACCTTGTTAATAATAGTATCATAATATAATGTATTAATAAAATAAATAAATAAATAAAAAAACATTTTGTTTACGAAAATAAACCACTCATTCGAGCTTTAATTATTTTTCATCACTTAAATGATAATAGAAAATTGAATAAAAATACTAATACATTTCAAAATAATAATAATAATAATAATAATAATAATGTAATTTAATATAGAATTATAAGAAGAATATACGATTGATTAATAAAAATAGATCTTTCAAAAACTCAAATATAGAAATGAATCGAAATAAAAATCATGCTGAAATTTAGTTTTGTAATTTTCAAATTATTTCGATTTCTAAACTGTGTTTTTTGGTTCCTTCCTCTGACTTGTACTACTTTTTACACTTATTATTTGTAATATTAATTTAAAATAAAAAAGTGTTTCAAGACATCTACTTCAAATAGTAAATATAAAGAAAAACCCGTCTGTTTTTATTAGTTTTTTTTGTTGATTCAAGTGGCGGTGTTATGCATTCTTAGAAATAAATTTAAATGACTTAGAAATATAATGATAATTATTTCTTTTTCATTATAATAAATGAAAACGTGAAATTAAACTATTGTGATAAATAAAAAGTTATTCTATCATTAAAGCCATAGTATTTTAAATTTGTCATTCAAAATGCTGTTTTCTAACAAATTTTTTGTAATTTTATTCATGTTTTACTTTTTAAAATCAGTATCATCAAAATGGGTAAGTTTTAAAAAACTATATTTTATTTTGAAAAAAACCATCATGGAATGATAAATTTGAATCATCTTACAATTCAAAAAACTTTCACAAAAACTCATGATTTATCATGAAAGCTATTTAAATAATTATTGTTTATTAATAGAAATAATATGTAGTAAAAAGTACTCTATATCTAAGCAACTTTTTATTTGATAAAGGGGAATTATTTTTCAATTTTTTAGGGTAATATCATTAACTAAATGCGAGTTGTGTTTGAAGTATTGTTAAATAAATTGGCCAAGTGAGAACTGAGAAAAATAATCGACAGATACAAAAAATAAATTAATTGAAAAATAAACATATCAAAGTAAAATTGATACATCTTCAGCTTTGCATCGAAGTTAATAGTTTAAAAATTAATTTTGGTGACTCGTTTGATTACGAATAATAGCCATAGGTTGTAAGTGAAGGTTTAAAGTTCTAGGTTAGGGATGAATGTTTAAAATTTTTAATTGATAAAAATATTTCTTTAAGTTAAATAATGTTTATTATTAAAAAAAAATAGTAATACTTTTAAAATTACGTTTAATATACTCATTTTTATTGTATTATAAGAAACTTCTAGTATCTGATGACATTAATTGCATGAATATTATCTCCTTTATTTAATTTAGTTTACACATTGGTCTCTCAATCACTTATTCTTTTAACACTTTTTAAGGGCGTAAAATATTTAAAAAGTATAACATCATACTATGGAAACAAAGTACAATTTAATGAAGATAGTTTAAATATACCGCTTTATTTCTACCCAGTTGACAAACACTGGAAAATAGAAAAATGTACTAGTCTGGGGCTTACATTCAAAGAACCAATAACGCGGCATAAATTTTCACCAACTATGGTTCCAATTGAAACATTTTATGATCGACATGATTTGTTCAAATTATTAGCTAATTTTTTATGTGGAGAAAGAAAGTATGACAATATTTTAAAGAAAAAAATTATACAAGTACGTTAATGTTGAATTAATGTGTCAAAAACATAAATAATATCATTTTTTGATACTATATTTATTTATATTTAATATACTTTTAATTTTAAATAAAATTAAAATAAGTGATCAATTCTTATATATTTAATTACATTTTATGCAAAATTAAATTTTTTAATTTCTACTCCTTATTAATTACTAAAATAAAGTTACATTACAGAGCATGAAAAATAATGAAGATATTAAAAAATTATTTGAGTCTAAAGAATTATATGATATTTATATGAGTTCATCAAGAATAGTTAACAAAAGTATGATTTTTTTAATTATTTTTGTAATCTTATAATACATTAAAAATTGTTATCATTTTTAACTTTTTGTCCACTAAATAGTATAAATAAAAATTCCTATAGCTATCATTTTAAAATGTTAATGATAAAAATAGTTATACCCGAATTTCAACTTCCAGTCAACATTACAAAGTAATTAAAATTTCCGAACTATATATCCAAAAATTATTATCATTTACTTAATTAGATAGTTTCTTTTTTTATTAGTTATTTAAAAATATTAAGTTGACACTCTTGCAAGGTAAAAGAACTTAATAATTGATAAATCGAGAAATGTATATAAGTAAAAAAAATTAAAAATAATATTTATGAAACTTTTTATTTATTATGTTATGGACTGTCTTATTATAAATAATTATGTTAAAAAATAACTTTTATTTAAATTAAATAGTGGCTTCAAATCATTCATTTTGGAATCATAACTATTTTCATATGTTAACTGATGAGAGGAGGCGCGTGTATAACTAGTTTTTCATTTACAATGATAGTTATAGGAATTTTTATTTATAATATTTAATGACAAACAAATTAAAAGTGATGATATTTTTTAAATTATTCTAAGACTATTGAAATAAAAGTGACTTTTTTAATTATTTAAAGACCAATAGAGTTAATAATACAATAAACTAATTATTTTTATGCTATTACACCTCAAAAAGCACTACATAAAACGTTGACTGGTTTTTAACCAGTAATTTAATTTTACTTTTGAGATTTTAGTATAATAATATTATTTTTATTGTTATTTATAGTCAAACCAATTGATATAAGTAAGTAATTTTATTGTGTTTTTTATTTTCAATATAAATTATAACTAAGCTGGTTAATTATGCTAATTAAAAATTTATTAATTAAACATATTGATTAAGGTGTTTTTTATAATGTTTGCTTTTTTTACCTAGTTCTATTTTACCTACATTACTTATCAATACATTACAAATTTAATTATTTGGTTTCTTTTTTAATTTTCAAGGATACATTTTTAATTAATTCTATTGATTAAGTTTTTAAATTAACAACAAGCATTGAGACTGGAGAAAAAAGGTTGATTGGAAACTTAATACACTTTGTATATGCACAAATACAACCTAGACTGAAACCTTGATTTTTAGTTAAAAAACAACCAGACTGTAACCGAAACCTAGATAACCCTTTTTTTTTATCATAGATAATAAAATGGATTATTAGATGTTAAGACGTTAAATAATTTTAAATAATAAATTAGATAAAAAATCGGCGTCAGCATAATTTAATTTTTTTTTTATATATGATTGGCTATTTTAAAGGTAGTCCTGAAAATACCATTAGGCTTTACTTTTTAGTGAACCGCTAAAATTCACAATGCCGTGTTGTGCTTTGGCACGAACTTAATCTAGGGCTAATTAAAACACGGCGTGGACTTTACATTAGTTGGACCACATACTGAGAAGTCCATTTCTTGGGTAGCACTATGTTGAGATGAGGGCAGAACTTTGTGGGTTTGATATTAAATAACTCACCAACATATATATTTAAATACACAACGTTGGTCTAAACCAGAGCCTCAAATCCTGCTGTGCTGAACGGCAAGGCTATCTCTATCGCAGGCATTCGGTTGATTCTTTATGATACATAACCTATTCGGCGAACATCTGTATGAGTGACCACGGCTTCTAGCTTCTTACCATAATTCATTGAACTTAGACCCAAGACTAGATTCCAAAGCATCTCGTGGTCCGTAGAGTGGTCAAACGTCAACACGACTGCTTTACATTTTATTTTTTGATCCCGTAAGTTAGTTGCAACTTTTTTTCTCAGTTTTTTTTGGTCACTTATCTAAGCGTCCTATAACTTCCAACTCTTGCATATTTCTTGATCTGTTAAATAAATGTATTGCGAAGTCATCCAGGTCTATAGCTCCTTTACTTTCATTTATTATTACTATATTGTCAGCAAAACTTATCATAGAAATATTTTTGCCTCAGATCTCAACTCCATTAACTATTTTATTAGTTTTGTCTTTACTATATTAATTTTTTTTTCTATGTAACAATTGATTTTAGGTGTTGATAGAGTGCAACTTTGCTATACTTATTCTATTATCTTTGCATCAAAAATTACCTCACTTTTTTAATTTGATCTGTTTAATATTTGAACAAGTCTTGTTAGTTGACTTCTATTTCTCGCAGTATATGAAACAGTATATTCCAACTAACATGAAATGTCTATTTCAAATCTATGAATGCCATTTATATGACTTTGTTCATTTCAATATGTTAACCAGCGATCAGATAACGAGCAGCGGCTCCAGGATCACCCCCAAGTCATTTAACATACAAAGAAGCCGATAAGATGAGGGGATTTCGGGCTTATCACTCTTTCTCGGTAGCACCAACCTGGCTATTTCCCCTCTGTGGGGGAATTCACCCATTCGCGGGTAGCAGTTGAGGATGGCACGAATTTATCCCTCGGATATTTATTCTGTTGGTACTTTGTTTTTTTTTCTTTAAATATTTCAGTTAAATAAATAACAATTATTAAAATAAAAATGTATACGAAGTATTTCTACTTGGTAGAATAAGTTAACACAACATGATAGATGTCAACATTTTTAATTATATCAATCAATGATAGATAAAAATTAATTTTTTTTAGATGATACAAAATGTCCAGTTTGCTATGTAAAATCTCCATACGTTATTGCTAAATGTAGACATCCATTATGTTATGAATGTGCTGAAAGTTTACGAATCCGTAATCAAAAGTCATGTCCACTTTGCACAATGCCTTTTAATATAATTGCCAGTATACAAGATGGTATGCGATATTTAATGTAATATTATATTAATAGACAAATTTTATCCAAATTTATAGGATTCTAAAATTGTTATTAATAATTTTTTTATTTTAGAAATTAGTTAATTAAAATTTTATATTATTATAAGAAAAGAAAGATAAGTACAGTTTAAAACCAGTATATTAGAGTCGAAGTATTTTTTAGAGTAGTATCGATTGATGTTTAATAGTGATTAAAATCATGGTCAAAAAATGTAATGATACATATATGCATAACAATTATATATATATATATATTGCAATCTGTTAATAACACAAAAACAATAAGTAATAATGATTATCACAAATTTGATAAAAAGGTCCAAATACGATGAATAGACCGTCCAGTAATAGAACTACAGTATTTATATATACATATATATTTTTAAGTAATTATATATATGTAAATGTAATTATATATATTTTTTAAATAATTATTTGACTTTGATCTAAAGTAAATCTTAAGACCAGCTTTTTTTTTTAATTTTCGAGAAATTTTTTGAGGAAATAGGCGGGATAAAATGGAGTTAATGGGGGAATTTGGGTGATATGATAGTTTAGTGTGGGATCTTTTGTTTTAGTGATTTTAATTGATATTTTTATGTTACTGTGAATGACAGTTTTTGTTATATATATCCCTATTATTTAATGGTATGTCCCCCTGCATCTTTTATAAGTCTTGAGGTTATTGATTAGAAAGCATGAATATGACGTAATTTGCTGGCTAAACAGCGTTCCATATTTGTATTCTATAGGACGAAAGATTTTAATTTCTCCAGCCTTAGTTTTAAAAACAGAATTAAATTTTTTTTTTCGAGCTATGAAGGTTCAGTTTTCAATGAATGATCTTATGAGCAAGTAACAAGGCGATGGAAGAAAATTCCTTAGTTTTAATTGACACGGTCCTGCGTGGCTTTATGTTATACGAAGCACAGCGACCCACGCTAACTTTATCAATCGTCGCCCTACTACGTGTATATGGTAGTTTGACTAATTCACACCGCGTGCGTATGGCACAAAACAAACTTCAGCAAGTGCCGCATGTCCGACAAGTATACGTTGACATCGCCTTCATGATTTCGAGATGGCCGCATCGATGGAACATCCATAAATTAGTTTGTTTGCTCCTGTCTATGTTCACCTAGTGTACGTTATATTTTTTATTTTATAAACACTATGACATCAATTACTTATTCTGTGCGACACGAAATACTCGGATGACCAATCGCCGAATGAAATCGCGTCTCTTAAGGCTCCCTTAAATTAAATGAAAAAAAATAACGTTTTAGTGGACTGTAATTTATTTATCGATTATATGTCATCTAATATGATAACTACAATGAATTACCTCATATCTATGGTTAGTACTCTTACAATTAAAATAATATCATAACATACTACACAAATATATTAACAAATTAATATTTAAACAAATCAAATATATATATATTCTGACCTTGCCTTGTACCAGAATGAATATTGTTAATGTGTCAATTACTGTATTGAGCCCGACGCAATCAAAACATAGTGAATTGAACCATAAAAACCATCAAAAGCAAACCAAACAAAACTACGACCGAATCTGTAACACTATAAATGAGTACACTAGGCAGGCCGGTTCGCGAATTGCCTTTGCGACCACCGCCACACATTACCCCAACAGATAAACCAGTTGTGGCAGGTCGCCCTCTTGACGAGGAGAAGAAAAACCGGCGCTCACTCACCAAACTGCTTCGTCACGACCAGTGGTGTAGTCCTAAAAATGTTTATGGGTATACGCCTATATAATGAATAGAGAATAACGTGGGGGGCTCCGCCCCCCCACACCCCCCCCCATTGCACTTTACATTTTCTACATACAATATTTCACATTATCAACAGTGATATAGTCGTAATTTGATAAATAGATAAGTTAAAAACCTAAATGAGGAAACGTAGGGAATTTCACCCCCACACTACATTTCAAAGGCCTTAACTATAACATAGTTTTAGGGGACGGAATACAAATATTGTGATATTTTAACTGTGTTAAAAATATGTATTTTCTAATTATTACATAATGCAACTAAAACTCCTAACCCTCCCAGTTGCTCCTTCCAACTTCCAAACTATTACTCGAATATTTTTACTGACACTTCTAAGTTCTTACATAAATTAAATTTCATAGTCATATAATCGATATGTCTATTATTAGATACTGTTATATTTTTTATAAATAAACAATAAACTTTATGCAGTAATAAAATAATCTTACAATCATTGTTTTCAAATCGTTAAAACATAAATGAAATAAACGTGAATAGGTACATGTTAGTACTATCTTAATTCATTATAGGTAATATATTAAATACTAGATTGGTTGGTAAACGGTTTATTACGGAAAAATACAAATTACCAATTTCAACAGCTATAGGTTAACCCAATAACTTTCAGTTTCAACTTAGTATGTGCTATATCGTTAATTTCTGATCGATGTTTTAAATTTTGTCAATAAAATTGTCGTGAAATGATAAACATTATCCTATTTATTTATACACTTTGACAGTGTTTTGTTTTACATTTATATTCTAATTTTAAAATGATAATAGTCTCGAGCCATATTTGTATGTTTATAACTTCAGATATATGTTTATATGTGGTATGACTGTAGAGATTAAACAAACTGATAAGAGTTATTCAAAATTTGTGTTTTATGACAAACGTACCTATATTCGATACCCACGTATTACTTTTTATTTTATTCTTTAGTCTATACTCTTTAACTATTTTATAAATACGTATATGCACTAATAAAAAAACTAACAGTGGATATACGCCGTATACCCGCGTATCACTCATGATTTTATAAGTATACGCAATAACAGAAAAACAAAGAAGTGCGTATACGCCGTATACCCGCGTATACGCTCCACGACACCTCTGGTCACGACCGAACATATTCTAATTTATTTTGTATGTCATTAATCATTGTTTGGTTTGTAATAAATAAATTGCTCGACGCCATTTATTAACCGAAAATTGTGTCGTCTATATAATTAACCAAGCACCTAACATAAGAAAAGTACAGTAGTTAGATAACTGACATAGAGCTATTTATTACATGAATAAGTTAACAATTAAACAAGGATTGAAACCGTTTTCATAATGTTATGATTGTAACGTTATAACTAGTACGATTGGAATCGTAAAACGTAAAAAAAAACATAAACGATTAATGAAAAATATAAAATAACGACTAGCAATACATAACTTCAAATGAAATAAAATAAAATCAAATATAAACAGAAAACGAAACACATATTGTTGTTTCGTTATAACCAATAAGGTACAACGAATTTGAAGAAAATATAATTACAAGCAAGCCATTGTTTCTCGACAAAAAAACTTAATAATAGTAATTATCACATGTGAGCAAGACGGGTTAAATCCTAATAAGGCAAAACAATTATTAATAAAGTTTAAGTACCAAAAAAAGAAAAACATAACAAATTGATATTGTTTAAATACCGAAAAACAGAAATCATTACAAACCAATTACGTTTAAATCATTTAGACCATGTAACGTAATAACACTGTTAAAGTTTTAACTGTCATAACATAAAAACAAAATAAATCATTTTGATTCCAGCTGTACTATTAAATGCTGTTGCGCAAAATTCAGAATTGACACAATACAAACTTATAACAAATATTTCGATGTTGGTTGTAAGGGTGCGGTGTAGACAGTGCACACAAATCGAAGATGACTTAAACAGTATGTTCAGTAAGTAAGGATACAGGTCAGTTGTTACAAACAATGAGAACAATGGAAACCCATCCCCTTACTTACCGAAGACACTATATATTTACGGCACTTGTTGGACTTGGACATTTACCATATACACGTAATAGTGCGATGGCTGACAAAGATGGCGCTGTTTGCGGTGCTCCACGCCTTACGGACCGAGTTAAAATTAAATGAACAAATTAAGAAAAAATTATTTTTCATTTGAAAAGGAATTTTTTATCATAATATTCGTTTGTATATTTTAAATTAAAGTTCTTTGTCTAACTAGTTCCTTCCAAACATTTGGTAACTGATATTTGACCGATGCATATTTATTTTCCAGGGTTTGTAATAAGTAACAATGGTTCTGTAGAACTGTTGGCAGCCGCTTACTTATTAGATGTTTGTATTTTTGTGTATATTAATAATAAAGATTGGTTTCTTTTTCGAAAAGACTGGCCCAATTACGACAAACTAGATATGAAAGATGAAAAATGTATTTATCTGTACATGAATGAAACACAAATAGGTATTGTTACTATGGTTGTCGGAACTTAAATTGTCATTAAATTATATAGTTATAACACCAAATTAATAAATAAATTAATATATATGAAAATATAATTTAATGTAATCGATTATATAGTACTCTTTGTTTCATAGTATTAAGACAAATATATTAACGTTTGTTAACATATCATAAATATCATTAACGCCAAAGTCTAGAATTGTGTAGATTCCACATAAATGAAACCGATATTTACTGAAATTGAGTAGTGGTGTAAATCACTATCAAAAATGTATTCATACTAATGTGTGTATAGAAATTCAGAATAAGCACTAGTTTTTAATTATTTTAACACAAGTCCGAAGCTATACGTAAAACATATCAAATAATAAATTTTTTTGGTATGACCGTTTTTATACTATCGAATGGTCATCCATCCGGGACACCAACAGCAACAGTGCAATTGAACATCAGTGTTAAGACGGTAACTGAATGGTCATAAATGAAAAAAAATATATAAAACTAACAAGCGTGGAGATTACAAAAGAACGCTTAGATTTCATATAAAAGAATTTTAACTAGTATTTTTTTATTAAATATTTCAATGTTCATATTTATTACTAGACTTATTAAAGTCAGAAGCACATATATTTATAATGTATACTCCACGCGTGCTACATACAGACAAAATTTAAACTAAATAACTTCATTCCATTAACTATAATTCTGTGTTAAAACCATATATTAAACTATTAGGATTGAAAATAAAGTTTTTTTAACCTTAATGTCTAAAATAAAAATATTGAATGATGTTCATAGTGCTACTAAAAACTGAATTATTCACTTCATTCGCTATTTTACTATATATTTTAGCTTTGATGCGAAACTGTGAAGATATAGGTTTTGTGATTTTTTATGTCAGTTAATGAAAATGTTCAGCCATTAATTGACCGATTTTAACAATTTATGCGTCAAAAAACCGTGATTTTAATCTAAATTATCATAAAAAATGACAATATTGAAACTTTTTTTTTTTGAACTTTAAATGTAATATAACTTTTTTTAAAACATAGAACTGAATGAAATTTTACTAATGTATACTATAAACATTGATTATCTCTGGTCCGATTTTGAAAATCCGATAAGAAAACTAAGTAATTTAATATTATTTATAAGAAATCGGTCACCAAAATTTTTACCAACAAATTTTTTGTTTTTAATTTTTGAAAATGTTTGGAACATCTGTGTTCTTTAAAAACAAAAGATTTTTTTTCAATTAAATTTTTTGAAATGATCAGCTCCGACTGACAACTTTTAATCAAAATAAAATTAAAGCTTTTGGAGTGAATTAAATTAAAGTGATTATAGTGTCAATTTTTATGTTAATGTTATTGATATACGATATTATTTTGATTGCAGTATTCATAACGTTAACTTTTAAGCAACTAACGTGATTAGTTTTACAATAAGATTATAATACCTAATATTCAACATAAAATTCAACAGATTCACATAGAAACGTTTAATTACGCTGTTAAGTGACACATTTCATGTATTTTTGTCCTAATTATGTCAAGTGTCCATTGTTCATGGTTTATTTTTATTTTAAGGTGAAATAACATTGATTAATATAATGCTTAAAAAAACATTCTCAATGAAATAACAGGACTATAGACTAATGGATTTTATAAAAAACATTAATATACATAACATTATGTTGGTTTTGTCCACGACTAGTTTCGGATCATTATTCGAGTACGAACTTTGTGAATTTAAACAAAAGTCGTTCGTACAAGCGTTTGGAAAACATCCGGTTTATTTGACTTGTTTTAGTTAAATTGAGCGTTTTAAAAGTTTTGCTCAACACTGCATTAATGTATAGATGGTAAGAGATACAGTTACAAATAGTTTATGTATATAAGATCACAAAATTGAACTTTGAAATGTGCTATGATAACATTACAACAGCCAATGCGATACCGCTCTTACGGTACAGAAAAAGGATGACAGCAACGGTACATTTAGCTTTCAAAGCTTATTTAATATTCTGAAATTAGTTTTATAAAACTTTAATATTATTAACGTTAAACATAAACATAATTTAAAAAAAAAAACCCAGCACAGGGGGGTCACGGCACAGTGGTGACGTGGCATAGTTGGATCAAGTATATTGATATCTGACAGTGATTAAAATCACTATCAAAAAAAAACGCTTCGATGCAAATCTTTAGATAGTGTTTAATTTTAAAAAATTGATGGATTATTCCAAAAGCTTCATAAACTGCTAGTTCCTTATTAATATCCTGATTAAGACAAAGTATGTCGAATAAAAAAGAGATTATTAGAAAATAGTATTTCCCATAAAAAAATTATATTGATCAATACACTTTTCAATAAGTTATAGCATTATAATGTTAAAAATGTAAAAAATAAAATTGAGAATTTTCACACAATAATAGCATTTGGTAGCCATTTTCACCTTGAAGATAAAATAAAGTCCGAAATTTTTTTTTTCCATGATAAAGTATATTACATTAGCTTTAATTTAAGATATATATAAAAGTGTCAGACCTTCCGGAACATTTTCAAAATTTAAGTTAAAAAAATTAATTTTTTGTGAAAAAGTTGTCATTATAAATCCCCCCTTGTGGGCAGGTTAAGGGTTAAATTTATGAAAAAAATATACCAAATGAAAGGTAATGATATTATGCATCTATATAAAAAAGAATTATATTGATATATTTATTTTTGAAAAAGTTATGGTACTTTTAAGTAAAAAAAATTGAAAAAATTTCGAAAATTAGCGATTTTTAAATTTGTAATTTTTTTGGAGGTTTCCCCCTTTTACGGGAAACGAGGGAATTTTTTTCAATTTTTAAGGGTAATGTCTTCGACTAGATACGATTTGTGATCTTTTTACGTATCATTGAAAGAAATCGGTTCGGTGAGAGCTGAGAAAAAGTGGTAACAGACAAAAAAAAAAAAAAAAAAACACATCTTAGTAAAACCAATACCTTCTCAGCTTCGCATCGAAGCTAAAAGAATATGATAAAGATTGTCACATACTTCTGCAAGAGTAGAAGTATTCTAATAGAGTAAAAATTATTAACTATTATTAAATTGATAATTGGTTTTATAAAAATTGTATAATAAAATACAAAGGTGATTAAAAAATCTTGTAAAATCTTGCTCAAAAATTTAAGTGTTAAAAAAAATTGTCACAAATTAATACATTTAATTATGTTGATCTCGTACTTTTAATAAATGCCTATGGGAAGTTTTAGAATTGAATTTTGAAAAATTAATTGAACAATTTTTTTACGTGAAACTTCCTTACAGAAGGACTGTAAAAAAAAGATTTTCCCGCAATACAATCGGCTTTCACGTTTGACCGTCACGGATGGATTCTATTGTTTTATTAAGTGTACGGTCAAAATTCTATTATTCAGAATGTTAAACGGATTCTATTGTCTATTAGGTATACGGTTAAAATTTTATTATACAAGGTGTTCAGTAAGCAAGAAAACATGTCAATTGTTATAAAAAATGAGAACGATTGATACTCGTTTCCCTACTTACTGATCACCTTGTATTATAAAAGTTGATCACTTGTTCGATGAACATGTAAATTTAAAAAACGTAAGCTTTCGATAAGCGATTAGGTTCTACGATTGTTGACGATTTATACTAATATAAAAAAATATTTTGAATTTTAAATTCATACAACTGGAGTTTTTATGTTTAAATATTTATTTTATTCAAAATATTACTTTTTAATAACAAATATTTATTACTAATACATATAAATTCATAATTTGCTAATTTATTCACTTGACGTGAATTTAAAAATATCCACTGCACTTTTTATTTTATATAATTACATTAAACAAATAAAAAATGAACAATACTTAAATTTTCAAAACTAAAATGCTACATATTTCATTATATATTTTATATTATAACTTAATTAAATCTATTTGTTTTTATAATTATAATAATTAAAATCAATAAGTATACATAATTAATATAAATATAAAAATAAAGAAGTATAATTAAATGATGATACAAAATTTACTTTTCATATTATTATTATTATTATTAATTAATGTAAATATAAATCTTCTTCTTTTTCCTCTTCTTAATCCCAATTACTTGGGGTCGACCACTATTGTCTCCAAGTACATCCGAGATGGGAAAATCCGTCTAAATTTTGTTCAGGACTCCTCATACTTTTTGACAATAATTTTACGCCGGCTGTCGACCTGACGCAACCTCATTAGTCACCTCTTACGACTGGCAGAGGGACCGTGGGAGTATTACAGGGAAAATTAATTATTTATTCTTATTTTTGTTTTAACCTTATTTATTTTTATTATTAATGAAATAAATAACTTGTCAATAATAAACAATTTATAAAAATAATGATTTAATATAATTTATAAGTATTACATTTATTTAAATAAATAAAAAATAACTACTAAAATACTGGTCCCAAAATTGTTATCGACCAGTCATTTTCTGAATTAGTTTATTTCATATTTTATAAGCTAGTTAAATATGTATGTTGCTATTTAAAAAAATTAATTTTACACACATTAAAGGTTCTTTAAGATTTTCAGAGTATTTTCGAAAATTAATGTTATTTAAAATGTATTAAATAATTTTGATTGTGCGTAAAAAATTATTAAGATACCTTCATAACGTCCAATCAATATCTTACATAAATTATTTCAATTATCATAAGTCCATTATATTATTCGTGGCAATCAAATAAGAAAATGAATAATAATCAGTTTAATTAATTTCAATTCAAAATAAAGTTTTTAGGCATATTTCTTTTATTTTATTCCAATACAAACCTATTATTCTATCAGTTAATAACAGAATTAATCTGTAAGAAGTTTCACTTTATCGACGAGTACTTGTAACACGCACTGGTTTTTTTCTTTAATTTAACATTTCAAGTTCACTTTTTTATAAATTATACTTTTAAAAAAAAAATATTTGTACAATAAATTTGTTGAGTTACAACACTTTGAATTAGAAAGAAAATTGAACTTTGTTGTGTTATTTCAACATATAAAATATATTTTGTTGGACAGTATCACATTTATAAATTGTTATTTTTGGGTA